ATAGCCCTCTTATTTAATTTTATTTTTTTTTATAACTCACACTGCCTTGCTATCTGACCATGTGAGGGTGTGTGACGGCCTTTGAGACTTCCAAAGAGCCGGTCTGCTGCATCTAATGCTGGCAACATAAGTTCAAGTGTGGCTGGATTACCAGAGATAGCATCCTTATTGTTTGTTGTCCTGAAAGAGAGCCCTGGGCTGCAGTCCAGCAGGAATGCTACTACCCTGAAAACTACTGTGTCCCCCCCTCTTCCTTGTAGTTCCGGTAAAGGCCATCAACAACTAGGCAGTAATTTAAATTACCAGAATGACTGGACATGTCTCCTTTCACAAGCTCATTACAAAAAGTGCCTTGCTCAGAATTACCCCACTTTAATCATAATTACCTGCTGATCAATGACGGTCCAGGTGTGCAGAAAATGACGTTGTACCGTATTATTTAAATTAGATCCTTTCATTAAGCTGGTATCTATTGGTGCTGGCTACTCTTTTTATTGTTGTAGTAGTAGTGGTAGTAGTAGTTCTTGTGTGTGCGTGTGTGTGTGTGTGTGTGTGTGTGTGAGAGAGAGAGAGAGAGAGAGAGAGAGAGAGAGAGAGTGTGTGTGTTTGAGTGTGAGTGTGTGTATATTAGAAACTTGTGACCTTACTTTCAGTTTTCTGGCCGATTAGCTTCTTAGTGTCTTTACCAGACTGTTTTCAGGATTCTCATTATGTTCCCTGGAAGAAGCAGAAATCTTTCGAGCTGAGAGTGGGTAATTCATTTCATACACAGCGAGTCTCCCTGCTTTACGGTATTTATTTTTTCGCACATTAATAAGGTGGGTTGTTTTTCCTGCAATGTGCCTTCCGCTCATCCGAGTTCACCCATGCCCCACTCTGTTAGGACGAGAGCAACCAAGTTAGTGAAGTCTTTCAGCCAGTCCCCATGCGGGAACAGGGGGGAGTGCTTCTCGGGCTCTGCCCGGGCTAACTTGTACCACTGCTTAAAATGAGAGACAATGCACAACTGTAAGTGATTACTCCTGTGGACTAATGTTGAAAGCTTGAGGCCTCGTTTGATTAATGAATAATAGAAGATAGAAAAAGCCTGGAAGTGAAGCCGGGCCGAAGCTCTCCTGGAACTCTCTTTCTCCGAATAACTCTTCCAGGCTGTTAAATGCCGTCCCAGGATTCCGTTTAAGGGTGGTATTTCAAGAAACTGGTGGCTGAAGTTCCTAATAAAACAGGTATCTACGCAGAGCCACAGAATGGTGTGATAAGTGATGGAGAATTTTCATCTTTTTTTCTTAGATTCCTCCTCCTTCAGTGTGTGTGTGTGTGGAGGGGGGGGGATATGAGGAAAGCGATCCTCTTTAAGTAAACAGCCAAGAGAGAACATTTCTCTCAGAAATATTATTGGTCCTCACTTTCTGAAGCTTTGCCCTTCCACGGTTCTGGAACTTGAGGTCAGGAGAAAGTTTACAGAGCAGTTCTCGTGCCCGTATCGTGTATGTGTGGAGTGTGCTAGGCTCACCCTCTTGACGGTGTGTTTGGTTCACCATTATCGTGTGTCCGCTTTACCTGAATCTTCAGGGATCTGCCTCGGCATCTCTCTCCCTTGTTCATTTTTAGGGAAGATGAAAAAGACGATGGCAGGAAGATTGAACAAAAAGAAACCGTCTTGATGCATTTGCACTTTATAGGATGAGAAGTGCGTGGATTATTAAAAAAAAAAAAAAGTAGACATGTTCCCAAACGTTTCTTTTCTAACAACCCCAGCCATGTGGTCTGCATATTCACATAGCAGAGATTTTATTTCAGCACTCTATGCTATTATTTTTATAGTAAAGCCGGCCAGTTGCAATGGGGTATGAAATCTTGTGTAATCACGTCCCTGTGAGTATATCTAACATGCCCATAAGTTATATTCCCCTGCCTCTGCTCCCCTCACGCCATTCTGTGCTTCTTTCTTGCAGGCTTGTGCTAGCTTCTGATGATCCAGTTTTTTCTTTTTGTGGGGAGTCTGGCAGGAAAGAGCATCTCCCTCGATTTATTTTGTTTATTGAATGCGGAGATGAATAATGCAGAATTTGTTTTCATGGGTGTCCTTGTGTAGCAGTAAACATTTGACTATTAGCAATCATTACTTAAAAGTTGCAATTTGCACCTTAATAGCATAGGTTATTTACATGGGAAACACATTCCGCAGGGCCAGTTCTGAACACACCGTGCTTCGATGGAGTAGGAATGGCCCGAGAGGTCTCTTTTTCTTCTTCGGGATAGTGGTGTTTCTGAGTCGATGGGTGAAGTCCCAGAAATTTCAGCTACCACATAGGGGCAGGAACCAGTGGCTGTTAAGTGAAGTTTGCCTTTCATTTACTGTCAAGTAGGGTAAGACAAGAAAGAACAAGAACCCAGAATGTTTTGGGACCCTGATTTTTCTTTTTGCTTAAACATCCTTCAGAAAAGCAAGCTTCATCTTAGACACGTAAATGTCCCATGTTGTAGATCTCTTTGCTTCCCATAACCATATGGTTTTAAGACAAGGACACACACACACACACACACACACACACACACACACACTCACAGACACACTCACATGCCAGCCCACAGGCCTTCACCAACAGGAACCCTTAGCTCTCTTGTTACTTTAAGAAGATCTTGGACTAGAGCGGCCAGGAGCCTAGAAATGACTTTGCCCTCCCAGTGTTTTGGGGTTGGAAAGATTCTTTATGTGGTCCTTGCTCCAGTCCCCTCCTGCTCTCCTCCCGCCTCTCGGCTCACTCTTAAAGGCCCAGATTGAATAGGACATTTCAAAAGTGCATTTGTTTTAGGTATTTATTGATTTCATTTTTAATCTGCCATCTCAGGACATACTATATTAACCCTAATCCGGAGATTGCAAGTGGCAGTACTCGGAGCAGAAAGGGAAGGAGAGGGCACTGGGGAGCTTTGGCCAGTGAAATCCCTGAGGCTTCTTTGAGCGTGTGTGGGGAGGTTGGGGGGTTCGATGCTTGATGCTTGAGTGTAAACACACCTCTCAGAAATACTCTACTGTTCTTCCCCACTTTGTGTTTCTCGCTGCTTCCAACCAACTCAGTTTCTTGCTGCATTCGGGGAAACTTCACACTCCATGGACACCACCTAGGCATCTTTAGACTTGGTCCGCAAGTATCTTGGCTATTGTGACTTTCTCCAGCAGTGGAACAATCCTTACCTCACCCCTGCTGACTTCCCATCGGGGGGTGCTTTTTTTGGTGGGGAGTCTTTCCAATTGGACAATGCCTAAGTTTGTCTGGGTTGGTCTGCTTCTCTTCCCAAGGCTTAGGAATGAAGGGAGACTTGAACTGCCCCTGCAGCA